ACGAGGAGCAACAACTTGCCTTTGAGGATCTGAAGCACGAGTTTACGCGTGCTCCCACCTTGGTCATGCCAGGTGAAACCAGGCCATTTGCTCTCGAATGCGACGCCTCAAAGTTTGCTACCGGCGGTGTCCTGCTACAGAGTGATGCAAACGGAGACTTGCACCCCTGTGGCTTCATCTCCCAGTCCTTGAACCCCGCCGAACGGAACTACGAGATCTACGACCGCGAACTCCTCAGCATCATACGCGGTCTGGAGACCTGGAAACACTATTTCCTAGGTAGCCCGCACAAGCTCCAAATCCGCTCGGACCACCGTAACTTGACCTACTGGCGCACCGCGCAGAAGCTCAATCGACGACAAGCACGATGGTCGCTGTTCCTCAGCGAATTCGACTATGAACTGGCACACGTCCCTGGAACGCAAATGACCATCGCCGACCTTCTATCCCGACGCAGTGACCATGATACCGGGGCTGATGACAACGACGACATCGTGATGTTAGCCCCCCAGCTCTTCGTGCGAGCCATCAACGCGGACCTCCTCGATCGCCTACGAGACTGCCATGAAAAGGAACCCATGGTAAAGGAGGCCTTCGATGCTCTCCTTGGCAAAGGACCTGCACCTGCGAAGACCTCGCTTACGGATTGGCAGACGGACGGAGACCTGGTATGGTATCAATCACGAGTGTATGTTCCTCCGGATGCGGGACTCCGACGGAACGTGGTACGCTTGTACCACGAGCTCCCCTCCGCAGGACATCCGGGCATCCACAAGACGACCACCCTCGTGCAACGCGACTTCTGGTGGCCTGGAATGGGACAATTCATCGCACGATACGTCAAGGGATGTGGAATCTGTCAGCAGATGAAACCGAGCACGCATCCCACAGTGACTCCTCTCATCCCAATCCCGCCACAACACCCCGCCACACCGTTCTCATGCCAAACAATGGACTTCATCACTGCACTCCCCGAGACTCCCCGCGGACATAATGCTATTTATGTCGTGGTGGACCACGACTCTACGAAGGGGGTAATTTTCATCCCATGCACGGACCAGGTGGACGCCGAAACAACCGCCAAGATGAACCACGACCACGTGTACCGACGCTTCGGACTCGCACGCAAGTTCATCTCCGATCGCGGCCCTCAGTTTGCATCCAAGGTCATGGGAGAACTCTGCCGCCTGACCGGAATTGAACGCGCACTCTCCACGGCGTACCACCCCCAGACTGATGGCCAGACGGAACGAGCCAACCAGGAACTCGAGATATTCCTCCGAATCTTCTGTGCGAACAATCCTGAAACATGGGACGAGATGCTCCCTGACGCCGAGTTTGCGCACAACTCCCGACCTCATTCCGCCATCAAGATGTCGCCATTCTACGCAATGATGGGATATGAACCCCGAGGAATCCCCCACATCACCGAAGTTGCTGACTCCCCAACCACGGAAGAACGACTCAAGCGGCTGCAGAAAGCGCGAGAAGAAGCCGCTTTTGCACTAGAAGCTGCGCAACGAGTCATCGAGAAGAGAATCAAGGACCGCACGCCTGCCTTCAAGAAAGATCAGCAGGTATGGCTCGACACGCGGCACCTCCGCCTCCCCTACGCCACGAGGAAACTAGCTCCTAAGAAGGAAGGTCCTTTCAAGATCACCGAGGTCATGGGAAGAGCAACGTATCGCCTCCAACTGCCTCCGCAATGGCGAATCCACCCTGTATTCCACGCCGGTCTCCTATCCCCGTACAAGGAAACCGAGGAACACGGCCCGACCTATACAGAACCTCCCCCGGACAAAGTAGACGGAGAAAACTCCTGGGAATTCGAAGCTATCCTTGGTCACAAGGGAACGGCAAGCCGACGCCGGTACCTCGTGAAGTGGAAAGGGTACCCTCCCAGTGAGAACTCGTGGGAACCCGAAGACGTCTTCCTGGGCACAGGGGAAGAGACCCTTGATGAGTACAAGCGCGCGCACCATCTCCGACTCCTCTACGAGTATAAAGAGAAGAGCCGTCTTGGAGTGGTGAGACTCGGACCCCAAGACGACAACGCTTGCGACTGCTGAGTCGAGCTCTATGCCCTCCACCGCTGCCTACGACGACCTTTCTCTCAAGGCTTACTACGACGCGTGGGTCATCACCCAGCTCCCCTATCTCGGCCTGAACCGCAAGCAACGTCTCCCACTTGACCCCCGTTACCACCTCTGTGACAAATGCCGATTCCGAGTGCGCACCGAAGGACACGAACTACGATGCCGCCCCACTCCTCGGCCTCCACGCAAGGCAACCCCCTCCTTCCGACCCGCGACTCGACCTCCCTCTTCGAAACCATCCTTCGTACGAAACCACTTCCACCAGGGACACTCAACTGGCCCCTCGCCTCCCAGGTCCTCTGCGCACCCGGGGCCCTCCTCACGCAACTTGAGCGTGATGGTTTCATCAACGACGACCCCAACGTCGTTCTCGATGCAATGGACACACTGACTGACCTCTATGAGGCAGCGGCGGACGTTTGGGTCCAGCAGGACCTCCTCGAGGACGCCATCCATCTCTTCATATCCCGACGAGATGCCTCCGCGCGACGACTCCTCCGACGTTTCAAGGAGCTCGAAGACTACTCGGCGGTCAAACAAGCCGCTCGCCACCTGATCCCCATCAACGATATCACCTACTCTCGCGACTTCATCGTAACCCCCACTTTCCCGAATGTCGACGCACGCGACCTTGCTCGCATGATCACCAACTACTCCCCGTGCATCGTCTGCCAGGGCACCGATGCTGATTACCACCGAACCATCGACTGCTCTCACTACCGCTGCCCCCGATGCAATCGTCGCCAGCCGGGACATACCGAGGCCCTCTGTTCAGCTTCCGAAGCTGAAGCACCCACGTTCCCGCCGGACCTCCGATCCCTGAACGACCTGATGCGTGGAGGTATCTTCACGCAGTCCGTCGCCCACCGCTGGCTGATGGAAGCCAACCATATCTACTCCGCGCTCAGTGGTCTCATCACCTCCCGACCAACCGAATTCCTTCCTCCTACCCTACGCGGCAAACGGATCGGATTCGAGCAGGCCAATAGGTGGTATGTGGTCCGGAATGGTCGCATCGACGGCATCTTTGTCAGCCTTACCCGTGCCACGGTCCTGGCCATGCACGTTGAGGCAGCAATGATCTCTGTATACGAATCCCGCGAAGAGGCCCGTCGAGCCGGCGACTCTATGCACGACGAGGACCATCCTTTCCTCGACGAAACCTACCTGATCGGCGCCCGTCCTCCTCGTAGCGAGCGACGTGCAAATACCGGAGTCCGACCCCCGACCCCTCATCCTCGACCATACCTCGGCGGAATCCTTACCTCGCCTGGACTCACGGACGTGGACCTGGATTCCCCGGTCGACGATGACGGCAGAAGAAACCTCGTCATCCAGACGTTGGAGCCCTCCTTTGGCCTTTTGGAGGAAAACGACGAGAATGTGCCTGTCCGGTCGATCCCGACGCGCGAAGCCCCGCCTCGCCCCCCTCACCTAATTCGCCCCGAGCCGGTACGTCAACCCCTGGCGGACTTCACTCAGGACCTGGAACAGGTCCCTCTCCGCCAACTCGCTACCACTCCTACGTCATCCTTCCAACCCTCACCCACGATCGCCTCACCGGTATCGGGCACGTTTGAGCTCCAGCATACCGATACTGGAGAAGTCGACGCCGTCATCCACCGTCATCGTGACGGGTCCACCACCATTCAGAATGCTCCGCCGCCGCCGCCTTATTCTTAGAAGATCGACGAGGTCGTCGACCCTAGGAAGGGGCTTATGTTACGTCAACGTTTGTTTTCCCTTATTTGCACTTGAGCATTGTACTATCCTAGCATGGGCCCAACCCCATGACGCTACGGTTCCAGTCTTCGGACTCCTTCGCTGTTTGCTCCGGTCCAACCCGGAGCAGTTCACGTGATCTCTGACTCAGTATGACTCGTCCCTTACTCATACCTGACTCATTATTTATGACTCGATCCCTGACTCGTCATGACTCACTCCCCCGCGCTCCTATTGGCTAGGTGGTTGTGACTCGTTCAGGACCTGCCCTGAACTCCCCATGTATATAAGACCTGTGTACAGTAGCGGTCGAACCTCAGTTCGACCTGGTTATCTATTGAAGCTTCACCAGCTCCTTGGATATCAGAAACTCCCCGCTCGACCTGCTAGACAGACTTAGCAGCGTCTCAGACCATCCTCCCCATCCAAGGACGATTAGAACCTAAGGTCCCTACGTTTAGGGTTAGGTTGAGAGCTAGTGCTCTAGGTGTCACGCTTCGCGTAACACACACGTCCGGTAATCGCTCCTCACCCTCCCAGTGTAAGTTGGTCGGTTTGTCTGGACTCTAGTTAAATTGGGATATGATTTGCTTGTAACTGTTGTTTGTCCTGTATGCTTGCCTGTCATTCAAGAAATATACCATTGTGTTTTGCCATGACTAAGGATCATGCCTGAGGTCCTCATTGCATGCTTATGCTGCATACAGAGGTCTCAAACTCTGATCAGCACTGAAGTGCATATGTCATAACTGTTCAAGCAGTAGGCAATAGTATATCAAAGTATACATGCCATGTTTACATTTCATTTGCCAGTATGTCTACTTGAGATAATGTCATCAAACTGTATCATCATTAGTGGACATTATGGCCATTAGGACTAATTATCCCAAATGAGAGTATGATTAGGGAGTCAGGCATAATTTGCCCTAAATTAGTGAAACTTAGGGAATTCAGGTTTTCCTGATGTCGTCAAGCAGCCCCCTGACAAGTACAATAACCTGCCTGCCGACTCTCGTATGTACTTGACATCTGAACAGCCCCGAGACCCTTGACGCATCTCACTGTTTGCATAACAGCTCTTCGGAATCAACTTCGACCAGGCGACCATTTCAATTCGCTTCTGTCCATCGAAGGCAAGCTAACCTACCCTCTCCATCATTGTACTGATCATCGAGATCGCCACTTCAAATTGTAGGGATCGACATTCATCGAGATACTCCGGTTGAGCTCCTGCACACGTACCTGCTGGGACAAGATAAGTATGTGTGGCATTACACTCACTCCAGCTGGTCTCCGAAGCAGTTCGAAACTTTTGCCGTGCGGCTACAATCCTCCTCAGTCGACGGACTCAATGTTCTCCCAATCCGTGCTCGTTATATCGTACAGTACAAGGACAATCTGATAGGAAAGCACTTCAAAGCGCTGCAACAGCTCGCGATCTTCCATATCGACGAGAGCATGTGTCCTCCGCGCGTGCGCGACCTTTGGAAAGCCACAGGCGAGCTGGGCGCCCTTCTGTGGTTTACCGAGATCGAAGATATGGACCTTTACTTGGTACGCCAATATCAAATCTCACGCAAAACTCAACTGAGAGTACTCACTCCAGGCCGATCTAAACGTTCTAATTGCTAACATCCTCGACATCTGGTCGCTGCTGGACCCCAAACGCATATTTGTCAAGCCGAAATTGCACATCCTGCTCCATCTCTTATTCGACATTCGTGACCACGGACCGGCTGTGCTATACGCCACGGAGATCTTCGAATGTTTCAATGCAATCTTCCGTATGTGCAGCGTCCTCTCGAACCACCAGGCCCCGAGCCGCGACATCGCATGGGCCTGTGCTGACATGGACCGTTTCAAGCACCAAGTCAGTGGCGGATGGTGGCCGGAGAATGCTACAGGGACCTTTGTCCAAGCCGGGGCGCATGTGCGTCAGTATTTTGAGAGCCGAGACCTTCAGCGACGCCTGGGATTTGTGCCGACCACTGTGTCCCTGCCTGGTAAGCTCAACCAGCACTGCCAGTGACCTCTCGCGAGATCTCCCAATGACATCATGCTCTTCTCGCATAGGTGCCATCCATCGGAGGAAGACTCAGTCCAAGACGACCTCCTGGCAATCCATAGTCGCTCGGGGCGATGATTCCGTTCGCCAGAAATACCCGCCTCAATCTCGCTGGCTCACCTGCACGTCTGTAACCGCGCGCACCAGCGATCTGTGCCGAGTCGACTCATGGGTTTTCTACGATGGAAGGGTACGCAGTGATGGCTCGCACTAAACTTGAAACAGCACCTATGAAAACTGACCACTCCCCTGGCAGGCTGGGACCTGCATCGGGCGCATCTGTGCGATCCTTCAGCCTGCGACCGACTCGGCAGATGCCCACCCAAACCAACATCGTGATGGTCTCGTCATCATCGAGCGATTCATCCTCGCCAACAGTCGCAACCCGTTCTATGGCATGCCAGAGCTACTACGCACTTCAGGCCCCCCCTGTACTGGGGCTATTAGCCCTATCCTTTTGTCCATTAGGTTGGGGCTAATTGCCTCATTTGGGAAGGTATGTCCAGGTATATGGGACATGGTGCTGGGATGTACTATGGGCTTGGCCCATTTCTGCCCAATTCCCGTCCCAAGTTGCTGTGATGTCCCATTGTGGGCAGCCCGTTCTAGGGCATACTACCACAATGCCCAGTGGGCTTCATGGTATTTCCCACCATTTTGTCACAGGTCACAGGGTGCCAGGGGGCATTTGGGACATCCCTTTCCCAGGATTGGCTGTAGCTAGCACCATTGTTTTTTTCTTGGGAGGTTCTAGCATGCACTGAGCAGTCATGTTTGCTTGAGCCTTTTGATGTTGTGTTCTCGCAGTAAGGTTGATGGCTTTGGTAGACCAATCTGCACCATTGATCTTTACAAGCCTGTGGTGTAACATGAGACTACCGTGCTATGTGCCAGATCTCTCGTTGTGTACTAGTGGTATGCCTGTGCCTGTAACATAGGGCTCATCAGTCATTGAGTGTGGTGGGCATGAACAGGCTTGGGAGGGACCATATGAAGCAAGCTTGGAGCAGAAGTCCCACTAATGTAATCCTTATGCCTTGCAGATACATTTTGCTCATATTACTGATTTAAGCCTCCATTGACTTAGCAGTGATTGTCACGCAAGCCTTAACAGTTGTGGACAAGCCCTATCTTACATGTCTACTTATGATGGCCAATGGTGAGCTGTCTCATTGTATGGTATCTGATTCCTGTTACCAGTAACATACCCATGATATGATGAGCAATCACTGTATAGATACACATAGCCTATATAAAGCAACCCCAAGTTGATTATGGGCTTGTTATGACTGTCTGCGGACATCCCACAAGTCCTTCATGGGATTAATGGGTGATATATTTATGTTTTATGGGCATCCCACAGCTCATCAATGGGGTAGTACCACAGCAGAATGTACATCCCAAGGATGCTACCAAGGGATGTCTAATACAGCTTTGGACATCCCATGCTAGGGTCATGAGGGCTGTCCCGTAGCTCTATGGACATCCCAATGCTTTGTACCAAGCTTGTCCCATGGTCCTATGAACAGCCCACACAACAGCTATGGGTACTCTGGACAACCCATAGGATATGCAGAGGTACTCCCTTGGGATATCCCATACAGCACTGGAGGTATTCCCATGGCTACATGGGCATCCCACACATCATATGAAGGTACTCCCGTAGTCATTTGGGAATCCCATGCATTATCCGCAGGTACTCCCAAGGCCATGTGGACATCCCATAGCATGTACAGGTCTTCCCAAGGTTCAAATGGACATCCTACATGTCATACAAAGGTACTCCCACGGTCATATGGACATCCCATACATCATGTGGAGGTACTCCCTCAGTGCTAATCCATACATCCCATACATCCCGTTGAGGTATTCCCACTGTTACATGGGCATCCCACAGATCATACAAAGGTACTCCCTTAGCCATATGGGTATCCCATTATGAATTCCCATGGCCCTCATAGACAACCTACAGAACATAACACAGAACTTGAATATAACAAGGCAGTCTCCTGTTTGAATCCAAATCAAGTCTACATGACATCAATTTTCTGGCTACATCACTATCTATGCTTTCTCTTCTTTAGGGAGGGACTATCTGAAGGTAACCAGAGAATTTCATGGTCCATGCCAGCAAGACCACTGAAATCAAATACCACATCATCCTCTGAAGGATGATAGGCATCTGTCAATGCAGCTGCCTCTGCTGCATCCAATAGGTCACCATCAGCCTCATCAGCATCATGGTACCCATAGTCAAAGTCACCACCATCATCATCACCAGCATCCTGATGAGGTGCTTGCTGCTCCATGTGCTCACCCATGTCTGCAGACTCAGAGATCTCATAAAGTGCAGCTTCATTCAGCTCCAGCTCAGATGGACCCCAAGATGCAGGCATTGGATAAGCACATGGAATCACTAGCACCTGTGACTGCCATGTTGCACACAGACGACATAACTCCTGTTGGTGCAACTGGAGCTGATACAGTAAATCTAGGTCTTCACCTTGTCATATTCAGCTGTAAGCCCATGGATCATGTGAGGTCTGCACTTACCAGCATTGGCAATGGCATGCTCAACTGATCTCCACTCATCCTGCATCCACATCTGCATGGTACAGCGCTCCTGAGACAAGCGGTCTTGTTCCTCGATGCAACGATCAAGCACAAGCTGGGCCTTGATCCCAGTCCGCACAGATTCATCACCTAGCCAACGGGGGACAGCTGAAGGGTCAGGCGACTCATCTGTGCCATTGGCCACAAAGTCATCGTCTTCTAGACCTACATCTTGCCAGATGTCGTCGTCCACATCGAGCTTGAACAAGCCATCACTCTTGATAGGCTCTGGGGCAATAGCTGATCGTGGAGCGCGGCGCTTGGCAATGAGGGTTGACATCTCCTTGCAGAGTGCATTGTAGGACTTGGCGAGATTGAGTATGCCAGGCTCGCGTCGCTTAACAGCAGACTCCACGTGAGTGCTAAGCTTATGCTCTGCAAATATCTTCTGTCAGATCGGATTTGATTGATAGCCATGAGAGCCTACTGTTCATTGTCTGACGATGAGCTCGTTCAAGTCGATCAAGCTCAAACTTGCGCTGGCGAAGGCGGTCTCGGATGCGCTGTTTGAGAGCACGCGCGTTCATACGCAGCTGCAGAAACTTGCTCTTGGTGAGGCGCGACAGCTGTGAGGTTTCGCCAACACCAAGTGCGGAACGCTTGTTCATGATAGCAGCAGAAACCCGCAATTGCTTGGGGCGCAGCTCGGACAACTGCAAGTCAATCTCATGAGGATCGCCTGAACCTACGAGCAACCGCTCCTCCAGTTCACGGATCGACTTGTTGTACGATGTCTGCGTCTTCTGCAAAGCTAGAATAGCTTCCACTGTCTTCGACGCGCGGTTGCGTGACTGCTCTGCTCAGTAGAATCAGTATCTGGGCAATGAAGGACTCTCGGGGACTTACTCGGAGGAGGCTTTGTCTGTGCCTGCACCTGCAACTCCCACTCTGCTCGAAGCTGTTCCGATGACACCCCAGACTGCTCAACCTCTCGCCGTGCAGTGGCTAGCTTGTCCTGACACTGGTACCACTTGCGCCGAAGCCAACGACCAAGCCGCCGAAGCGACTGCTCTTCGATGTGCTTAACTTGCGTGTCGATGACGAACAAGCGCTGGTGATACTACAATGATGACTTGTTAGTGTAATACAAGTAAGAGCACTCCAAAGCTTACCCCCGAGACTCGTAGAGACGGAATCAGCCTCTGGATTGAACTCCAGAATCTTTCACACCCCTCGCCATCTGACAGCCCAAAGCCGACACATTTCCGAGGATGGTAGACGACCTGGCAAGGCCACTGATGTCCAAACGCATGGAACACGGAGAGGGCGAACACGAGGCGACTGGCAAGAGGGCCTAGGAATCCCCACTTGACAATGCTTCGATGGAGTTGGCAAGCGATGTCGTAGAGCAAGCCCACCGTGACGTCTTGCGGGAGATGGTCGAAGAGTTGCTGTACAAGGCTGAGGGCATAGTGCTGCTTCTCGCCGGCTGAAGTCATGTTGACAAGCCAAAGGACACGGTCATGGCGGCACAGCATCGCCATCAGCCCAGTGTCAGCAAAGAACTGTGTGCTAGCCTTCTGGCGGCGCTCGTCAGCGGCGACGAACGAGTCGTTACAGCCGTCGAGCACGGATTCAGGAAGGTGCAACAACGTTCCCTCCATGGTCTCGCCATCATGCGGCGGCTGCTGGTGATCTCTGCCGCTACCTCGATGCCGCATGCGATCGACCTCTTCCTCCATCGCGTTGACCTTCTCCGCCGATACGAAGACGGAGTCGGGATGAGTGCGGGGCGGATCGCGCAAGCCAGACATTCCTTTGCGACGCTTTTGCGTGAAGCATGCATCGAGGCAGACGATCACGTCTGGACTGTTTACGACATGAGTACAGCACGAACAGAGGGGATGAGAACAGATGAACAATCACTTACATGTTGGGAGTGCGATGGGTATACTCGCCCCCGAAGCACAGCGGGCAGCGTTGCCGTAGGTAGCGGCTTGCGCCGCGTGCGCGGCTCTGATGTTCCTCAGCCGATCGCTCGTCACTGTTCGTGGACGCAGACGCCCGTTCACGCACGTCATCATCTAAGACGTTCGATATACTCGCGTTAGCGATTGACGCAGTGACATATCATTGGTGACATTGGGCATTACCTGCACTACCAGCACTGCGATCACCACTGCTTCTCTCCACATTCTCCTCGGTCTCGGCGCAAACAAACGTGTCGGCAGATTGATTGATGCGACGTTGGACGAATTGATGCACGTTGTTGACTAAATTCGAGTACCACAGCAGCGCATTCCCAAATCGCCGCCGTAATGATTCCTGGCAAATAATACTTAGCACTCTGAGATAGGTATTCAATCACTTGGACGTACCCTAGTGCGCAATTT